TTTTCCAATATTTCTTATGTTGAACATAGCCGGAGCCTTCACATCATACCAGTCTTTTTTAGAAAATGGATCAACCACTTTCTTCTTGGCTCCTTTTTTGCCACCTTTCGTAAGGCACTTGTTCTTGCCTACCGCCATGGTGCTGCTCAGAGAGCCAAAAGGGCTATTTTTTTTTAAATAGGACAGTTTCAATAATCAGTACATTGTACATTGTTATTTTCTTAGACCTGCTAATTTTTTTCTCTTTATGTCTTCAAATGTAGAGGTTAAACTCAGGGCCTTTACACTGAGTTACACTCTTTCCCCCTTTTAAATTTTGACACAAGTTCTTACTACTAAGTTGCTGATGAACCTGCTACTGCTGTTCCCCTAACAGCCTCTCAGAGTGTTGGGACTAGAGCGTGCCACCATGCCCAGCCTTTTCATACCTTCTGGAGTGTTTTTCTGACATCATTTTATTGTGTGATTTTTAAAAATTATTTATTTTATTTTTTACTTTTATATATTTTGTACAGGGTCTCACTATGCAGATTGGACTCTTAGTCATCTTCCTGTTTTCATCCTCCGCAGCACTGAGATTACAGGTGTGCACCACCATGCCTGGACTCAGTGGCGGGTTCAGTGTTCCTGGAGACAGGGTCAGCATGTGGTGCGCGGGATGGAACCCCAGTCCCTGCACTTGCCTAAGCAGGCACTTAGTCCGCTGAGCTATCCTGCTGCCCCCCCCTTTTAAAATTTTACATGTGTATTTTTTTATTTTGATACTTAGAAAATTTTTTACCTTTTATTGTCCTGAATCCTCTTTTTGTTTTGTAGTTTTTATTCCTTTAGTGAAGTGTCTGGTAAAAGTTTATCATTTGAATTATAGTAGAGCCTTTTTGGTATAATACCATCTTTTCTTTTTATTGTCTGTCTCTGTCTTATCTTTTGAGATAGGTTTTTACTTTGTAGTTCAGATGGGTCTAGAGTTCACTTTGTAGCCCAGGCTGGCCTTGAACTCTTGTCAGTCTTCCTGCTTCAGGCTCCCAAGTGCTGGGGTTTACAGGTATGTACCAGCACGCCCAGCTCATATTTTGAAACCTGAGTTTCAAATTTTTTTTTTTTTGGCAGAACCAGGGATTGAATTCTGGTCCTTGCGCTTGCCAGGGAAGCGCTTATTCCACTGAGCCATCTCCCCGGCTCTCAAATATCTTTGTAAGAATAGAAATTGGACTTGTCAGCAGGTGTTCATTTATGTTATGCTGGTAGTTGCTATAGGTATTGGCTTAGCTTTTTTATTTCAATTATAAGGAAAAGCAGATTTTTCTAACTTGACACTTTCCATCTGTCCAGGGTTGGATTGGTCTGAAGAGAGTGGAGAGGAGCTGGAAGATGCTGAGCAGGCCTCCCCGTACCAGGCTGCATGGTCCCTCCGAGAGACGCTCACATATGCAAGACACACGTAAGCCTTCCCTTTTTGGTTTTTATTCTGAAAGCAAGGCAATAGCAGGTATATTTCTTTGTCTTGTCTATTCTAATATTTTTATTTGGCTGGATCTGGTTTTGTTGTAATGAGGTAAAATGGATTCTGTTTGTGAAAAAATATGCCATATTGTTTGAACAGAGTACACTTGAGTTTTCTTGGTAAATTTGCTTCTGTCACTTTCCCATTGATCACTGGAGGAACTAGTGGTGAGATGATTAGAACTGAAAGAGAGTGTAGAGCTTATCTGATGCTCTTTCCTTGTGGTACTAAAGAGGAAAATGGGCCTTGCTGGCTATCACACAGGGCCAGTTGGCATCCCTTGCTTTTCCTTCTTTTTGCGGTACTGGGAATTGAACTCAGGCCCTTGCACTTGCCAGGCAAGTGCTTGTTCTACTGAGCCATCTCCTCAGCCCCTTGCTTTTCCTGGTGCCCTCTGTCCTGAAGCCTTGGGAGCTGAGAATGCTAGCACTTTTCACCTCACCCATGTGTTGTGCAAGATGGATCTGTTCTTTACCTTTTCTACTGTGCTGAAACGCTTTCTAAGGTGATGCTTCCTAGGAGTTCTTAGTGCTTATCTTAGTCAAGCTGTTTCAGTATACACAGAGCACTTTTCAGTCTTTTTTTTTTTTTTTTTTTTCTCCCATTTTATGTATTTGGTACAGGGTCTCACTATGCAGCTCGGACTTGTAGTGATCCTCCTGTTTTCAGCTTCCCCAGCACTGGAATTACAGACCTTTGCCACCATGCCTGGACTTGCTCCCTGGCTCAGTGTACCCCAAGGGCAGGGCTGGCGCAGCATGCGGGACCAGGGATCAAACCCTGGTCTCTGCACTTGCCAGAGCAGGTGCTTAGTCCTCTGAGCTATCTCACCACCTTTGTTCAGTCTTTTTCCAAACAAACCTTAGGAGGAAAGTGTGTTGCCTTAGGTCCATAGAGATTACTGCATGTCCTCTTCAGTAGTAGGAAAAATACTGCTTTCTTTCAGGGGGCTGCTTTAGCAGTGTAGACATTTACTTGGTGCAGTATGAGGGTAATAGGAGAAAACCTTGTCTGTGGGGCCAGGAGGTGACTCACAGCTTCTGGTGATTATTTAGCAATACTGTTGTGGTTTAAGTAGATAGAGCTTTCTGCTTCAGACTGAATCGTAGGAAGTTCCCAGCATCATTATATGGATACACAATTTAGATTATGGTGACTGAATTTATATGACTAAAGGAATGGCTTGTTAGTACACCCAGAAATGATTAGGTGTAGCTAACCTGTAAAACTGAGACTCCACCAGAAGCAAAGCTTCAAAATTTACTTGAGCCAGATGTGGTGCCCTCCTAGAATCCCAGCACCCTGGAGGCTGAGACAGAAAGATTGCCATGAGTTTGGGAGTCAGTGTGGACTGCATAATCAAGTTCAAGACCTACCTGCACTATATAATGAGACCCTCTCTCCAAAGAGAGAGAGAGAGACAGACTGACCGACTGACCGACTGACTGACTGACTGACTGACTGACTGACTGACTGACTGACTGAGTGATTTCGGCATGGAATTAGTGCAAGGACAGTTGGATTTTATCAAAGGATGTGCCTTTAAAATGTTCTTGGTGGGGGTGACAGGGAGATGACTCAGTAGAATAAGCGCTTCCCTGGCAAGCACAAGGGCCTGTGTTCAATACCTGATTCCACACACACACAAAAAAAAATAAATAAATAAAAAAATTCTAGGGGGCCAGTGGAATAGATAGCTCAGTAGAATAAGTGCTTGCTTGGCAACTGCAAGGTACCTGGTACCACAAAAAAAAAAAAAAAAAAAAATACTAGAGTGATGTGTTCCTTTGTTCTGTTGAGGTTTCTCTCAAATTCTTGCCCCTGCCTTACGTGTCTCCTCTAGCAGATAGTATTGGAGAACGCTACACTTTCTCTTCAACCTGCAGTTCATTTTCTTTGTCACTCAGGACTTTCTGTGATGGAGTACAGTCTTTCTTACAGATACAGTACAGTAGGTTGGACCTGAGCTTCCTTAGCTACAGACAGTGTCAGCATGCTATGTGTCTGCCTGACTTGACTTTGGGTTAATTTTAGAAATTGCTATGAGTTAGCATAAATAAATGCACAGCATGGGGAATTGATGAATAACAAGTCATCTCTGATTTAATCCTTAAGGTAACCTGACATCATCAGTAAGTGGAGTATTTGCTGTGAGTCAGGAGTGTGTTTTCCATTTCTGCCCTCTGTGCATGCCCCGGTGTTAAAGTATGGTCGTCATTCTCAGGCTTTGTCATCTCTTTATTTATGTACTTGCTTTGTTACTTTGGGGAACTCGCTTCTATCTGATGTCCGTGACACTGCAGTGCAGGCTTATCTTTCTCTTAGCTTTTCTTCTTATACAAGTACTTACTATTTTCTTGCTCAGCTGTGGTTTTCATCTTGCTCCCTTCATTTTTCTGTTCTTGTTGGCTCTTAGACTCTGTTCTTGGGGCACTCTCTCCTGGTGGGATTGAGGTAGATCACTGCTCATTCTGTGTCTGCAGCCCCATGTCTGTATCTGCCTCTGTGATCTTTGCTGGAAATCTTGTCCTGGAGTTTGCTTTTTTTTTTTTTTTTCTTTTGATACCAGAAATCAAACTCAGGACCTCGTGCCTGCTATGCAGGCACTGTGTCACTGAGCTATATTCTTGGTCCTTGTCCTGAATTTTAAACTACCACCAGAACATCTGGATTCCAGTTTCTTATTGTGACCACCTTTCCATCATTATAGCTTGCTGTGAGTGTAACAGCGTGGATAACTGAGCCACGGACAGTGGCCCTCACTGGACTGTCCATTGTATCTCCCCAAAGTTTTGCTGTTTAAAATTCCTCAGTGAATTTATTGAGTTTTCAGAAGGAAAGCTGGCATTGGTCTCACCCGTGTTTCTGACTAAAGAACCTTTCTCAGGAATTTTCTTGCTAAACTGGGATTGTATTTACATTTTTGGAAGAAGGTCTGGCTTTGTTTTCTCAAAGTTTCTTGTTTAATTGTAGATGCATTTTGCCACAATAGAGCTTTCAGGCTTTAATTTGGATCTCTCAGTATCAGAAATAATTTGTTACTGTAAATGTGTTTCTAAGAATAATTGCTGTCAGGAATTGCTTGGCTTTTCATGCTCTTTTGCTATTAATTGCTGTTCATTTGCTTGTTTTTGAGACATCTCACTGCAGCTCTTGCTGGCCGACGACACAGCCTCAGCTACCCTTACCTCAAGTTCACAATCAGCTGCCTCACTCCTTTTAGTGTTGGGATTACAGGTGTCGGTGACCATGCTTAGCCCTTTTCATTTTTTATCCTCTGCCCCTGGTACTGGAGATTGAGCAGGCGCTTTCTGCACTGAGCTACATCCTGAGCCCTTGTTTTTTTATTTTCAGACAGGGTCTTGCCAAGATTCCAAGGTGGTCTTTAAACTTGCAAGCAGTAGCATTATCTCAGCCTCCTGAGTAATTGGAGTTATAGGTCTATGCCATCAAGCTCAGCCTTTTTTTTTTTTTTTTTTCCCTCCCTCTCTTGATACTGAGTATCAAATTCAGGACCTTACTCTTTTGATGGAAGGTGCTTATGCCACTGAGCTGTCTCCCCATCCCAAAGCCCAGCCCGCCCGCCCTTCCTTCCTTCCTTTTAATCTTTTTTTTTTTTTTTTTTGGTGTAACCGGGGATTGAACTCAGACCCCTTGCGCTTGCTAGGGAAGCACTTATTCCACTGAGCCATCTCCCCAGCCCCCTTTTAATCTTTTTGAGACAAGGCTTTGCTATGTATGCAGTTCAGGCTGGCCTTGAACTCATTTTGTACCCCTGGCTGGTTTTACACTTGCAGCAAGTGTAATTTTACTTTGTATTATGGCTGGTGTGTAAGTGAGAAGTCATGACTTCTCCTTTGCTCAGAAAGCAGTTCTCTCATACTGTCTTCTAGAAGCTTTGTTATTGATTTGATAGTTTTTCTGCAGTTTAATTTCTTTATATTTTGGATGTGGTATGAGATCAAGTTAAGGTTCGGTTCGGTTCTGGGGACTGAGCCCAGGGCTCTGACTTAACTACCTACATCTGTGGCCTTTGTTTCAGTGCGAATGAGTATTTAAGGAGTGGGTCCTTTGATGGTTTATATCCAGTTCCCCAAGAATTATGAAGTTCCTTCTTAATGACCAAATGACCTTTTAACTGCTCTGCTGCCCTATTCATTGACATTGAGAATATAGCTTTTCTCTTTTTCCCTTCTGTCTTTTATTTTGCCCTTTATTTACGTACTGAGTTGCTCATATAAGAGAAGCCATGTGATGCTTATGCTTGGGTGTCTGATTTACTTGACCTAATGTTAGCCTCAAGGTGCTCCCATTTTCTTGCAGATGTCTCATGCCTATTCTTTGTTACTGCAGAGTAGTACTCCTTTGTGCATAAATAGCACATTTTCTTCATTCACCTGTTGATGTATATACAGGCTGCTTCCAAAATTTAGCTGTTATGACTTGTGCTGCTAAACACAATAGGTATGCATGTATCACTGTAGTATGTTGTCCTTAACACTTCAGTAAGATACCTAGAAAGAAAATAACTAGGTCAAATGAAATCTGTAGCTTTAGTTTTTTGAGGGTTCTTCATATTGATTTCCGTAGTAGTTGTGCCAGCCTATACTCCCACCAGCAGTCAGGAAGAGTTTAATCATCCCCAAACTCTAGCCTTG